GATCTCACCCTCCTGGTCTCTGTTCTTTCCACCATACCACTTTGTTTACTGAAGTCTGCAGATTCTATAGACCAGTATTGTAAAAGTTGCCACCCATGTCAGAAAGTTCTAGAAATCTAGATTTCTAGATTTCTTCCAGAAAAATCTCAAGTCTATTCATTAAAATTAATGCTATAAAAATGTAACTGCTGAGACAAAACTGTTTTTAAATAGTGAATAAAAGTTCAATTTAAATCTACAGAGGAAACTTTTTCCCACTTATCACAAATAGAAAGGAGAAAGCTTTATTGGTCCTTAAAAAAATGCCACATATTTGAAAATAAAATGATTAGAAACACAGGATGCTCAAACCAGTTTTGGTAAACAGTATAACGGTTGCGCTTTCTGAGCTAATCAAACTCAGAACATAAGTGATAAATATTTAAATCTGAGGTTGTTTCTGGGTCATTTAATTACAGGATAAAAAACTTCAGGAAGTGTTGGGAAATGCCCTGCCTGGTTTAAGGAGCTGTAACCCTGCTGACAGGCTGGAGGGCCCCAATGCTGGAAATAATCAGGAGGCCCTGGAGAAACAGGCTTCTGAGGAGACATAACCTCTCCCTGCTGGCAGGGGTGTAGCTCCTGGCTCTCTGCTTTGCCTTGTGATGGTCCCTGTCAATGACAGGTAAGACCCCTCGGGGGAGGGTCAACCTAAACCAGGCATCAACTGGTATAGGCAGCAAAGAAATTGGGGGACACAGAGAAAGGGCAAAAAGGCCCATACCTCTCGACTTGGCTTGGACATGGCTGGAGTCCTTACCATAGTCGAAAAGCGGTCTTCTTATCTCTTGGTGGTTCCCTCTCCACACCTGGCTCAGGCTTGAAACAGTGCAGGAATCAGCCCTAAATCAGGTCTGGCAGTTCCCGGGGAAATTAGGCCTAAAAGTAAATCCTTTGAAGTGTGTTTTGTTCTTCCCTCAGATCTCTGGCCAGCTCATGCTGTGAAGTACATTTACATTATTTACACGCCTTACCCTGTATAGTTAGGTGCTTGCCCTTATCTTTAGTCTCTTTTGTTTATACTGGTCTCCTCTTGGACCCATGTAAATCAGTGTGTTCCTGTCATTTGTCTTCTTAAAGGCATCATCTATTCTCTGTGAAACTTAAGATACTAATGTAATGAAATAACATATGCATTCCTGTTACCTAGCTGCACTGATAAGATTTTCAATAAAAGCCTTGGAACAAAGGGCAACGGAGCCTTTCCCACTAGAGGGATGTGCCACAGCCTTCTCCAGTAAGAGGGAAGTACCCCCTGTGCTCTCCCGGCAGAGAAGTGTTTGCGACGTTTTGTTTATCTCCCTCATCCGTGACAACCCCAGGACAGGCTCTGCGGGATTCAGAGCCCTGCTCCCATCTCAGCTGGCCCCTGCCGGTTTCCCTCAGATTTAGGGAGCCCTGTGCTCCCTGAGGCATGCTCCTTCCCTCCAGCGCAGCGGTTGCTGCCCTGGCGGGGAAGAGCGGCGACCCCAGCGGCACTCCCCGGTGGTGGCGTGCCCCGTCTAGCTTCCGCCACGCAGCGCAACAGAAAAGTAAGGGGTATCATTTTTAAATTAAATAATATTATGTGCCAAGCATCGATCTAGGGCTTTAGATATCTTTTTTTTTTTTCATTTAAATTTCCTAATAATCCTATGGAAAAGGTCATATTATACCCACCCCTCAGCCCCATTTTATAGACGAAGAATCTAAGTTGTTTGCTGTATTCATTTCCTAGGGCTGCCATAAATTATCACAAACTGAGTGGCTTCATATATAAATGTTGTTCTGGAGGCCAGAAATCCGAAATCAAGGCAAAGGCAGGACTACCTCCCTCTGAAGGCTCTAGAGAAGGATCCTTCCTTTTCTTTAAAATTTTGGTAGCTCCTAGTCTTCTTTGGCTTGTGGCAGCAGCAGTTTAATCTTTGCCTCCATCTGCCCATGGCCTTCTTTTCTCTGTGTCTGTGTCTTTTCCTTTTTTATAAGACACCAGTCTTTGGATTTAGGGCATACCCTAAGTCCAGTATCATTTCCTCTGTAGATCTTTAACTAATTGTATCTGTAAAGACCCTATTTCCAAATATAATCACATTCTGAAGTTCCAGGTAGACATGAATTTTGGGGGAGAGTATTCAACCCACTATACTTGCCTAAGGTCGTACAACTGGTAAATGGAACAACATTCAAATCCAGTTGTAACATAATTTTCTTGCACATTCAAACTTTGTGCACCCAAATGCCAGCTATTTCCAGACAACCACCTCTTGGTCACACAGCATATGGAATTTACTGAAGATTTAAAGCATGCTTCAGAAAAAATTTTGCATTGCACTTCAGTAGTTCAGCCAATAATCTCAAAAATGCTGCCTCCCTACTTCTTTTCACTCAGCTTTGCTCTGGGGCCCCCAGTGTCTAGTCTGTATGGCAAAGCAAATTAGTAAACACTTTTGGTTCCCAGAGTTTCCCTTATGGTATCTCATTCCCACCAGCGCACCTTATCACAGCTTTATTACAAACACATCCATGTTTCTCTTGAATAAAGATTTCTCTGTGATGCCACATGCATTCCTTTATTTAGAAAGAAAATTTATTTCAAATAATGGAAAAATTTGTTAAGTAGAAGGCAAAGTCTCTCTCCTCTCTACTTCTACTACTCATAAAAACTCAATGCTAAGATAAACTGTAATTCCTATAAATTTAAAGACTGGAATATGAAAGAATATGTGAAGAGCCTTAATATTTGATAGTCTTCTCTTGGTTCCTCACTCTCCTTGTCTGATTCATTGCAACCAAACTGTCCCACATGGGGCCTTTGCTCCTTCTACTTTGAACTAGAGATCAGTTTCCAATTAGGATTTTGTGAGGAATGTTATCCTAAAAGAGGCCATCACCAAAATTAATATATTCTTTGGGTAGAGTTTAGAGGTAGGAGAGACCATTTAAGACAAGGCATTTTAAAATAAGGCTGCAATATTCAACAATCATATTTGGTATATATTAATGAATATTTAAAGTAATATTAAATGTCTCGCTCTACTGAAAATCAGGGTTACTTAACTCTTGAGATCCTTCTATTTGGGTCAATGTGGTAAGTGCATCGGAGCTTCCCTCTATGTATAGCATAGCTGATCCTTCAATGGAACTTACGTCTCAGCAGAACTCTTCGTTTTCCCCTGGATGCCTGGCAAAGCTTCTATCATCAATATGAGGTCCAAAGAAGAAGGCAAAGGCAGCTGAACCAATATCTGTTCTAATGAAGTAGAAAAAAAATTGACTTGATTCTATGTTTCATTGCCTCCAGGAAGAAAAGATTCACCAACTGAGGGAGAATTTTCAACACAGAAGGGAAGAAATGCCCTGACAACCTGTGACAGCTGCAAATGTATAAGATGTAAAGGAGTGACTCCCCACAAAGTACCGTGGAGAGGGGACTGAGGTAACCTAAACTGCAAGCTACCCAAGGGCAGGGATCCCATCTGCTTTCATTTTCTGTTGTATCTACAGCAGCTAGCACACTGCTCGTACATAGTCAGTGTTGAAAAAAAATATTTTGAAAGAAAGTAATAGGAATAGCATGAGGGATCCTTGTGATAGAATTGTTCTGTACCTTGACTGTGGTGATCATGCAAATCTATAAATGTGATAAAAATTGCACAGAACAAAACATGGAAAACGAGTACATGTAAGACTGGTGCCATCTGGATGAGGTTGGTGGATGCACCAAAGTCAACATCCTGGCTATGATAATGTACTCTAGCTATGCAAGATCCTACCACTGGGGGAAACTTGGTGCAGGGTATATGAGATCCCTTTACATTGTACAACTGCACGTGAATCTACAATTATCTCTAAATAAAAGACAGTAATGTAAGAGGAGAAACAAACTCAGACTGGAGACATTAATCTAAAATGTAGTAAGAATGGGGTCAAGATGGACTATGGCTTTGAAAAGCTGTATTCTGTTTAAAAGAGAGAGGCCATGAGAGGGGAGGCACACTAATTGAAGAGACAGATAAATGTGTGGGAATTTGGGGTGCATCTCAGTAGAGGAGGATAAAAAAAGAAATGGAGAGCTGTGATATTATTGCTCCAGTTCAGTACTGTCTACTTGGTCAGGTAGGGGAAATGAATAATGGGTCTCAAGATTCAAAATACATTAAGAAAAAAATGTAATACTACATTAAAACAGGGAAGAGTTGTAGCAGTAACACATGTTAAAGAAACCAAAAAGAACCCCAGACCGCCTTCTGGGTTTCACCATCAGGGAGGTGAAGGATGATGATTAGGAATCTCAGAGTTCCTCACTGGCAACTCCTCCCATGTTTCTTTTGATACCCCCCATCCAGCTCCCTACAATTATTAGCAATAAAAACCTTAAAATGAATAAAAAAGATGGTAAATAATACTGGGAACTAGAAGACAGTCTTCCAGTTGAGTCTCCTTAGGGAGGAAACCAAGGAATGAAGAGGGTGTCTGTCTGAAGGTGGAAAAGAAGGAAGAAAAAAAGAGAGCCAGCATGGTGCATATCCAAAATCTGCAGAGTTAGAAATAGTTTTTCTTTATCCTTAAAAGAAAAGTACTGTTTTAAAGAAATTTGTTTAAAAAAAAAAATCAACAAGCATATAGCGTACCTATTATCTGCCAAGCTAAGCATTATAGGAACCTAAATAAGAGTAAGACAGCTCCTGCCCCTAAGAGATCTATATTTGTTACTGTTATTTGGGACCATTTAAGAAATGTTTGAAACACAGCACTTTCTTTTCTGATGTAACTGAAGCATCTTGAGTTATAATTACTGATTTACAAATCTTACGCAGATCTGCACTCCCTCCCCCCCAAAAAGTGTAGAGAATCAAATTCATCTCAGTGTGGGATCTATCTACCCTATTCTCTGAACCTGGGTAACTCTAGAGTGAGGTTTTATTAAATGGTCCTAAAGTTAAATAGAAGCCATGTACTAGAAAGGATTAATTGGTCATTTTAATTTCATTTTAAAGGGAATGAAAACACAATCATGAACTTATCTATTAAAAAGGCAATATAACATTTTTATCAGTTTGTATAATAATTTTACTGCATAAAAAAATTAGAGATCACATAAATCATAAGGTCAACAACATATATAGAAGAATGAAACAAAACATGATTATTATGATCAAATAAAATGGAAAAAATAATCCAATTCTTAAAAATACCACAAATGTGTTTTCTTTTCAGAGAAAATTTACCTCTAGTGTTTCCTGGATATAGTAATGACTGTGGTTCCATTAAGCCAAATGGAAAACTGCTTTACAGTTAAAAACGTAAAAAAGCAACTTAACATAGATGTGTAGCCCTCTTAATACTGGATATAACAAATAAAGACATCAGGGTCCCTGCTTTTGCGTAAAGCATAGCTTGGATTTTCTATTAAAAGTAACAATTCATGAAGAATACTAATAATTTTCTATGTTATGAAACAAGTTGGAGAATCCAAAAATTATTGCAGGAGTGAACATCTTCCTATGGGGGAAAAAGGTATATAAATACACTAAATGTTAACATTTCCATTTTCATTCAGTTACTTGCCCTGTTCAAAACACAAAAGCATAATAAATATTTCCTTACAAATGATGTTCCTAGTACATTGTTTAAAAAAAAGATTTAAAAACCAAATATCTTAATTTACCTTTTGTTGTCATTAAATAAAAAGTCTAATATACAGACACATTTGATATTTATATATTGTAGGAGTTAGTTTGTCATTTCTTATTCAAAGTAGATGTTTAATAGTACTAGTCTATACAACACGGCTCACATCCAAAATGCAGGGTAAGTTCTACTGTAAGCTGCTCAAGATGATTTTTTTCTCTTTTTCTTTTTGATTAAAAAAGACATTCTGAGAATTTTAGAATTTATATTTGAATGGTCTGAAAAAAAAAACAACCACGTCAAGCGTTCAAGAGAACATTGCTGGTGCTGTAATCTTTTTGCATGTCTTTGTTTTCACAGAAAGAAAATACAATAAAATAAACACTTAAGACTTTAAAATGTTTAAATGTAACTACATAATATTCATGCATACACACATATAAACTAAAAAAAATGGAGGAAAAAGGATCAGACATCTTTCTTTTGCATTTGTTCCATCTTTCTTCTCAGGAGACCATAATTCTCCTTAGTCCCTGATGCAGTGGGGTCAAGTTGAAGAGAGATTTCATAGTGTTTTTTGGCCAAGTCTAGATGTCCCCAGCGATGATAGAGCACAGCTGAAATAGCAATAGATGAATTTCATTGGAAATGTCTCTGACTAACTTGCAGTGTTCCCAACCATTTGTACAAAGAAATAATAAAGAGCCTCTGAAACCATTTTCAAAAACCATTTTCATTGTTTAAAATAATATTGTTTATGCCACAATCTTTATTTATTGTAATCACACTCCCATGTGATTGTTTAACCACCCCCAGTTAGTCCTGGAGTTCTTTGTATCATTAGACATGACCCATCTCCCTACAGCAACATTATTACATAAAGTAAAAGGAAGAGGACATTAAGCTTCTCAATTCTGCCATGAAATTTCCAGGAAGCCAGACTGAATAGGGCTGGGCTCCCACACTGCTTGTAGTCCTGACTCTTTAGAGGACCAGTTGTTTACTTTAAATAAAGATTCCCCTATACCTTTTGGCAAAATAATGGCTTGCTTGTTGTCAGCTGAAAATAAGGGCTCTCATATCAAAACCTGACCATAAAATGATAGTTAAAATAAATCTCAGTATTAGAATGGTGAGCCTCTGGAGATTATAATGATTTTGTAAGTAAAACTAATTTTCTAGATGGGAAAAGAGCAACGATCTATGTGTCGACTTTTTGCAATGAGAAGCTACGGTCTGTAGGAAACAGATTTGGTAAAAAAGAAAGAAAGTCACATGACTGGGCATTCCAAACATCAACATACTGTGCTCTAAAAATATTAATTATTGAGATGTGTAATGGAATAAAGGAATTGTAGGAAATATATTTTTGTAAATGCATTTTTAGCCAATGCATAGGAGAACATAAAAAAGCTAAGACCAGGCTAGAATGGAAGGTCCACTATGGAAGGTGAGAAAAGGATGTAAGTTAGACAGCAAACTTCCAAAGCACATCTCAGTTTAACCTTGTTAGGATCCCTCACACAAAGAATGAATATCTGAGTTTTATCATTGGAGTGGGTGATTTGGGGGGTTCTGATTATATAATTAAGATTTCTGGCTTCTGGACAAGATGGAGGCATAGGTATATACGCTTCCCCTCACTGCACAACCATTAAGAAGGAACACAACTAACTTAAAAAGAAAAACACCCAGAACTGCCAGAAAATCAGCCAGAAAAATCAGCCAGAAAAGCACCCAGAACTGTACAGAAGGCTGACAACCAAGGATTTAAAGAAGATATATTCATCCACACAGGTAGGAGGGGAGGAGATGGGGAGTCTCAGTGGCGTGATGTGGTGGTGGTGAGCCGGTGGTGAGATGGCTAGGTGGCAGCAGCCAGCAGAATGGGCAGTCCCACATTCACAAGCAATGGATAAAAGTCAGGGAGACATCTTGTGAGCAAGCAATCCCAACCCAAGGCCACTCCATGCTGCCCAGGGCTCCAGTGCTGGGGAAAAAACAAAGCCTCATAACTTCTGACTGTAAATCCAGTGGGGGTTGGGGTGGCAGAAGAAACTGCAGGTTACTCAGGAGAGCCTAGTACATAGCAAACCCACCCACTCTGGGAACCACAACCAGGACAGCAGCTAGAGGGCCACCAGTTACATATGGGAAGTGGCAAAGTGACTGGAAAAGGGCCAAGTGCCAGAGAAGCCCCCAGAAATCAGCCGGTAGTGGCATTGTCCCCTCTTTGACCCCCCCCCCGCCGGCACAGAACCACAAAGCAGTGAGGCAGGTTTCCCCACCCTGGCGAATACCCAAGGCTCTGCCCCATACAACTTAATAGTTGTGCTAAGACAGGGAATCAAAAGCATAAGGGAAGAAAGGAAGGCTACACTAAGGGAAATAAAGATAAAATCTATAGAAAACTAACAGTGAAGAGAAAGAAGTCAGGATTCAAATCAATGACTTGGAACATAAGGAAGAAATAAACATTCAACCAGAACAAAATGAAGAAACAAGAATTCAGAAAAATGAGGAAAGTTTAAGGAGACTCTGGGACATCTCCAAAAAGGCCAACACCTGAATTACAGGGATGCCAGAAGGAGAAAAGGAAGAGCAAGAAATCAGAAACTTATTTGAAAAAATAAAGACAGACAACTCCCCTAATTTGGTGAAGGAAATAGACATACAAGTCCAGGAAGCACAGAGAGTCCCAAAGAAGATGAACCCAAAGACGTCCACACCAAGACACATCATAATCAAAATGCCAAAGGTTAAACATAAAGAAAGAATCTTAAAAGCAGCAAGAGAAAAGCAGACAGCTACCTACAAAGGAGTTCACATAGGACTGTCAGCTGATTTCTCAAAAGAAACTTTGCAGGCAAGAAGGGACTGGCAAGAAGTATTCAAAGTGATGAAAAGCAAGGACCTACATCCAAGATTATTCTATCCAGCCAAGCTATCATTTAGAATGGAAGGGTCATTTACCCAGACAAGGTAAAGCTAAAGGAGTTCATCATCACCAAGCCCTTATTATATGAAATGTTAAAGGGTCTTATTTAAGAAAAAGAGGAAGATCAAAACTATGAACATTAAAATGGCAACAAACTCACAGCTATCAACAACTGAATCTAAAAAACAAAAACAAAAAACAAAACTAAGCAAACAACCGTAACAGGAATAAAATCACAGATATGGAGATCATTTGGAGGGTTATAAGTTGAGGGGGTAAGGGAAAAAATGGGGGGAAAGTTGCAGGGATCAAGAAGCACAAATTGGTAGGTACAAAATAGACAAGGGGATGTTAAGAATGGTATAGGCAAAGGGGAAGCAAAAGAACTTATATGCATGACCCATGGACATGAACGAAGGGGGTGGGGATCACTGGACAGAAGGAGGGTACCAGGCAGAGGAGGTCAAAGGAGGAAAAATTGGGACAACTGTAATAGCATAATCAATAAAATGTACTTTAAAAATGATTTGTAAATATGATTATTATTTAGCTACCTTTTTAGTGTAATAATTTCTTTTAAAAAACCACATTTTGAAACCAGGTTATAAAGGACAATACAGGCTAGATTTGAAAAACAACTCTTCCAACATCGATTTTATAGAAATATACCTATTTCATCAAAATTACATAGAATTTCAATATGATTCAAATTGAAAAATTTCCTTACCCAAATTGCCATGGTAACTTGCAGCATTTGGATGAGCTTTAATTGCTTTGAGGAATAATGCTTCAGATTCCTAAAAAAAGAAATACATAAAAGGTAATGGACACGATACAACAACCACTGCACAGTTTTATTGCCTTTGATTTTCAAACTCTTAATATGCGCTTTTTTTTTGTACCATTGCATCCTTCGTCCAGAAACACTTGGAAGGAGCGTCCAGAAACACTTGGAAGGAGCGGCAGGGCCACATCCTGTTGAGAAAGCCTTGGAAGGGCGATTAGGGAATATGTGACAGGGCTACAGTGACTGGGCAGTAGTTGGTGGATGTGAAGCAGTGAAAACGAATGCATCTATAGAGAGAATGAATGTGCTAATGAGCTCTGCCACCTCCCTCAATGAAATGACTGGAATTCTGTGACTTCAAGCAAGTAGTTTGGTTTCAGGTGCAGTGGAGGGTGAGTGAAGGTCAAAAGACACCCATCGAAGTGTTATTTTCAGTCAGCATCAATGAACTCATTCCCAGGATACTTAAGGTAGGATTTGGGGCCTATTTAATCTTCCTCAACAATTCACAACCCCCTCAACAAGCTAGAAGCACTGGAAAAAAATGAGCAGAGAGAATGAGGAAGAGACAGCCAGCCGCCTTTCACTTAAGCCGTTGCAGCATTGTATACGACCATGACTAAATTCCCCTGATGTGTGGGAACTGATTCTTCTACAGACTTGCAATTCTTTAATATAGCAGTCACTTTCAGTGGGGTCACTGAGAAGCACAGCCAATTGTTTGCTACCTGATCATTACTGGCCATGGCTGGCTGGATGGTCTCTTTCTACCAAAATGCTGGGAAATACAGATGCCTAATGGTTCTCAGTAACCCCTGCCAGGGACACCTATTCACACCATCTACATCCTGTTCACAAAGAGCCAAGTACGCTTTAATGCTCTCATCGTGTCAAATGTTTTAATCAGTGTCAAATGCTAACTGTACAACTGAAGTTGGTGGTTTGGGTAGAGGTTTGCTCCTTCTGTCTGTACCCTATGTGTGTTTTTTTCAGGTGGGCTTCCCAATCCAGGATCCTGCATTTTATGAAGTGTAAGAAGACCAACTTCCTTGCCCCATGGTGGCCTGTGGTACTCCTGAGAAACAAACTAGGAATTTGGGTAAATATCCCTGAAACCACCACCTTTTCAATAGAACTGGCAGAGGAAAATGTGTATTTTAGAAGTACTGTCCAAGAGGAACCAAATAAAGACATCAAAATAACAACATATAGGATGTCAGGAAACATCATTCTCAGAACTCAGCTCAGAGTCAGTGCCTAAATTTCAGGTTTCAGGAGCTGAAACTCCTTTGAGGAAGCCCAAGATTTTCCTGCTATCTTAGGCACACTGAAAAAAAAAAAAAAGAAAATCAATTGGATTGTATAGAACTGTAGTGGTTTCTAAGTAGCAGTGCTGTTTCTGATGATTTTCAAATATTTCCATTTAAAGTGTAAAATTTGAGAATTAAGAGAGCAAGGGAATCCAAATCTACTCTAAAATGCTCCTCTATATGCAAATGTGCTAACTAGAAAAAACTGACAGAGATAAAAATCAACTCAGGAGTTCTTGGAGGATGCTAGATACGTCACTTGATTCTTTTAACTAATTTCTCAAATTCCCATAAGTGTGGACATCATTTAGGATGATGTAAAGCCACAATCAGGTTTAGGGGATGTAGTGGGATTCAGGGTGGTGTACACAGGGAGGGGCTTAGGGCTTACACCTCATTAGGAGGCTGCTGCTCTTGGCCAGGCAGGGCCTGAACCCTGGGGGATGGATGAGGAGGCTGGGTGGGAAGGAATGGGAGACATAGGATGAGTGAGGTAATGGGGAGGAAAAAGTGGGTCACAGTTTCTGAGCCTGGAAGACAGAAAAATAATAACATGTTGACAATAGAGGAGGTGTCGGGAGGAAGAGCAGGTTTAGGAGGCATGGTGAGTATGGGTTAGACATGCTCCTCTCAGGAAGCAGTGGTGCAGCCTTGAGAGGATGCTCAGCAGCTCCTGGGAGGCAAAGCAAGCCAGGGCAGGAGGCCTCTAGAATACAAATGTCTGTGGGTATTCAAAGCTCATGAAATGTTCATCTATTAAATAGGCTGTTCAGTGGCCCTGTTCCAGAAAGCAATGAACTGTTTATAAAATAATCTTCTGTGGAGGTGTGCAGATGCATACAGACGCAGGTAACATGTTGATTTATACCAAGGGATAAACAAACTCACATTTTAAATCGGGAATGTTTTTTCATCAGCAGAAAGGGAAATAATGTTATTTTCTGAAGTGTATTAGACAAAATGTATTTGACAAAGGTTTAGGGCAACATGTGAGACAGAGGAAGGCCTTGCACAGGAACAAGTGAGTGTATTTATGTGTTGATGGAGAGGACGAGGCAGTCAGATGTCATTTCAGCCACATGGGCTGGCAGGGCAGCATCTATAAACCAAGGACAGTTTTACGAGGGACATCCTGGAGCCTGCTCCAACCAAGGAAGGTGATGTAGGCAGTCCAACATTAAGCTGAAACCACAAATCACATAGGAAGAGAGCAGTTCCCTCTTTAATTTGCCTTCCTTTCTTCTGGTTCATTCCACACAGAAGTCTCTGGTTGTGATTTGGGGGTCATGGCCTCAATGTCTGCCAGTCTCCCTTTGAAGCTAAAAGAAGATGAACCTCAGGTTCAGAACCTTAGCCAACAGATCTACCTGAGATTTAGAAAAATTATTTTCAGTTACCTTACAGTTATAGTAATAGTGTTTCCACTTTAATATATTTATCTATGTTAAAAATTTAAAGAAAGATAAGTAAGTAAGTAAGACAAGTAGTATGTAGATGTAGCCCAAGAAATTCATGAAAGTGTGGCATAAATATCTGGAGTTGGGGAAACGGCACTATCAATATAACCTGCTTTAAAACTCAATGGAACAATTGCTTGTCAATGGAACAAGCAATAAAGAAAGAGGAATTAGTCTGAGAGGCAATATTTTAAGTATTAAAAACATTACTTTTGTATTTCTGCTCTACCACATTAGCCATAAATTGGAAATTAAATGGCCACAAGTAATATAAATTCTAATAGGTTTTAATGATCCTTAGAATTTCATTGAATAATCACTGAACTAAAATTTTTATGTGCGTGTGTATATATATATATATATTTACTATTTAATTGTTATAAATTATGTTCTTGTGCATGTTTTCTTATCACCACCTCCATTGTACAGATAAATGAACTGAGGAGTGGTTAAGTGATTGCTGTTAGGTAAAAAGGGCTGCTTGCATAAAAAGATACCCCATAATCACATGGGTATAATGAGAACACTCACTCTGCACATTAAAGTCTCAATACAAATTCTAGAAGCTTGAATGTTTCAGAGCCAAATGTGCGATGCATTCAGTTATTTACTAATGGGGCATTTTAATAAATGCCCATCACCCAGCTATAGAGCAATGGAGATGGAAAAATAGGGCTTAAGACTCTGAATTCAAGAAGTCTCCAGGCTCACTAAAGAGATTCATCAAAAGTTAATGAGGATCTAAAAGAGCAAATGCTTAGGAAGAAAGGAAGTTGAACGAGCAGCAGACATCTGTCCTGATGGAGATGATGGCTGAGCTGGAGGGACTGTTCATTCCACCCCTACAAGCCACCACCTCATGTGCCTTTCCAGAGCATTCCCACCCAGGGCTCACAAGAACATGCTGCAAGCAGCTGACCAATAGTAAGAGGTATCATTTCTTTATCAGAGAAAAAAACTAAATAGTCGTTTAAAATTCCAAATCTTGAATTAAAAAAATATTCTAAGTGAGAGCTTGGTGATGCCATGGCTTACAGTGTAACATCACATCCCTCCTTTTGGCATCTCTGGAGTAAAATCTAGAAATGCAAAATGTATACCAAAGCTATTAAACAACCTGACATTCAAAAGTGAGAGAAATACACGAAATATATTACTGTTGTTATAGGAAATGATATGTAATGAGCAGAACAGGAGAAGTAAATAATATGGACAAATAGAAATTAATCACTGTCTTTAGGCCTCGTGTGATCAAAATCAGATGTGGCCTCTGATTTTGAAAGAAAATATTTCTCTCAGGAAAGGACTAAGGCACTGCTTCTAATGTGCTTTGTAACGTCTGTGTTAGATAGTCAGGATGTGGGTTAAAAATGTACATCCCCTGACCTTATGCAACCAGCTAAGTCCCTCTCATGGAAAGGATGGGAGGCACCTGCATTCTAACCCACTCCCTTGGAGATTCTAAAATACAGAATTAAAGCTTAAGATCACCAGCATTAGGAACAGAGTCCTCTTCAACACACCTTTTGATTTGCAGTCTATTCCTGGCCAATTCTGAGAGTCCAGTTAGATAGAGCTCAGATTAAATATCTTGTGTTTTTTATTGGTCAGAAATTTCTAGGGCCTTGCAGATGACCTGTAACTTAACTCTAGATGAGGGAAAACTTGGAAGCAGCAAGAATCAGTCCTGTATTCAACATGGGCCATTATTCCTTTTTTTGTGGGAGATGGCACCCACGAATAAACCCAGAGCTCCATTCCAACTGTAAGGGGTTGGATCACACAGCTTCGTGCCAGGGTCGGGGCTGAGGCACCTGCTAGGATACATCCCTTCTTTGGCCCTTCCCTCCCACATTTGAGCAAAGGTAGTGAATTCTGATGAGAAAGAACACGGAGTTTGACCCTGAAAATCCATCTTTTGGTCAACTACTTCAGGAAGCAAATTGACCAAGCCACACTGGTAAACTGCTGTCACTGTTTTGGCCTAATGCTGAATTTAACTGGCCAGAAGAAACATTTATGGCTTCTGTCAGATGTTGGCATTAATTTCAAGAAATCATGGCCAGCAGTTTACACACCTTGTATTTCTGGGATTTTCCCAGCACATTTGCTAATGAGAACATCAGAGAGTGATCATTAGGAATTAATTCCAGTGCCTCTCTTCCAATTGCTTCAGCTTGGGCTAAATTACCTGTAAGTAAAAAATTAAAAAATGAAAAACATGTACTAGTATTTTTGTCTTTCTCTCTAACAGGGCTTATGTGCATTATAAACAATGGTTATTAATAAACTACTTAATAAAATCAATGTAAAACGTTCAATACACACACACACACACACACACACACACACACACACACACGATCCTATCACTTGCAAAGCCAATGCAACCCAATGCAATTTTGGTATAATAAATAGCTTTTGATTAAATTTTGTATAAAACCTAATTTTAATTTTCCCCCAGATACCAATTACACCCAAATAGGAGAAAACAAGTCTACGAAATAAGATAATCACAGTAACACACTAATAACTGAATATTTATCATATTGAAGTATATGTTCTGTACTTTCATTAGAAACAAGTGGGTATCTATCACACTGATGGTTTACTAGCTTTACATCTTGACAAATTAAAACTATCATTCCTTTTGAGGTGCTTGGATTTTTAAAACTAGAGGAGTAGAGTAACTCCTAATTGATTAAATGTGCCAAGGGCTAAGAAACCAAATCATCAAGTTTATTTTTAGCATTGTATCCAAAATAAGGATCTCTGGGTGTAGGTTTGAAGGCATCCCCTTTGAGTACAGTCCATGAATTTCAGAGCACATACCTAACACCTTCCATTTCATAAACCCATTAGCCACTCTCACTCACTTCAGTTACTTCCCGCGTCCTGGATGATGGGCCCTGCTCGATAACAGGCTTCAGAGAAATGAGATATTGGCACACAGTTCCCTTCCTTACTCCACACCAATTTTAAGCAAAGTGTCCTTTTCCCAAACATATTCTAACATGTCAAAGGAATCTCTATTTTCTAGAAGGATAGACATTTTGTAATGCAAAATAGTAAATCCTATAGTAATTTAAAAAACCCCTAATACACACTGGGAAAAAACCCCCCATAATAATCTAGATTACCTAATTATTCAATGCTACTATATTATGATACAATTTCCTCTGATTTACATAATTCCCCTTTCTGTACCTGTGTTATCAAGGAGTATGATCATGTTGTTCCAAGCCAAACTGTGCTCCGGTTTCAGCGCAGTAGCGTTTCTCCAGGCATTCAATGCATCCACATGGCGATTTAGATCTGCATACTGAAAGTAAACCATGGATCAAAACAATTAATTTTCCAATTGTTTTCTTCATCTTTCCAAGATATAACGGAAACCAAACCCAGAATCAAATAAAACCTAAAATGCATTTATTGAATTTCTAATTATTTCTAGTAACTCATTTAATATTCAAAATAATCCCAATGAAGCAGATAGCTATCTCCACTTTACAGATAAAGCAACTGAGGCACAGAGAAATTAAGTAACTTGTCCCAAGTTGTATATTTGGAAATAGTAGAGCAGGGATTGGAATCAGATGATTTAGCTCCCAAGCCTACAACATCTTAACTATAACCCATAATTTAGTGATTCCAGGTGTCAATATTTTAGACTACCGAAAAGAGAGGAGCTAAAAACCTAATCATTAGGTTTTTTTTCTGGAAAGACTTCACATAGTCCATCTTTGGTAAATTATTATTTAAGGAAGCTAAATGTGTCAAATTCATCTTGTGCCTCTCCCTGCCTACATCTAAGCTTCACAAGACACAGATATTGTAAAACCCCTGGGCATTCGGAGCTTGTTTGCCTCCTTTAGAAAGGAGAGAACTGTCGCTTTCTTTTGACAGGCAATTGTTGTCTAACAGTGGTAACAGAATACAAAAAAGCTGGCTCTCAATTTGTACAGTTAACAAAAGTGTGCCAAGGGAGAAGGTGATGGATTTTTTAGCAGGTGACCCTCTTGCCCTGTTTAACTCAGTTCAAACGCACCTCTCATCTGAATGAACCTGTTTCCTTTAACTCTGCAAAAAGTGCAAATGATAACAATTTATCAGTGTTAAAGGCTATTTCCTTACTTACTGTCAAGCCTGTTACTTCCTTAGACAATGGGAATAGTTTGGCTTGCCCTACGGCCCACACGGCATCTAGGTGGCATAGTATGCAAAAAAGATTTAATAAATTATGGAAACATTTACAAATATCCATTTGCTAAAGAGATGTCAGAATTTCCCACGAGACTCAGAAACTCAAGTTACTGTATCTTACCCCTTAAATGAGGAAATATGAAAATAATTTAGGCTGCTAATTATACCAGCATTTAATTGTCTCTCTATATTTGATGTTCCTATTGATTTCTCAGTCAATTCTCTCCAGCAAGTGACATGCATTTGAGTAGACATAATCTGTGGTAACAACACAGGAAAACTAACCTAAAACTTCATTTATGCAACAGTAAAATTCTTCACATATTTTGCTATTTATTACTATTATCATTATTACTATTATTGAAAAATAACAACAGACCGAAATTTATTTTTATTTTGTGATCTTCATCCTTCTTATAGCTTCTCTACAAAGTGAACAAGTGCTTTAAGGAAAGCAGAGAAAAATGGCAGTTTAGCAAGAACTACCCATCCAGAATGTGGATAGATGCAGTGCCTGTTATTTAGCTATTAGTTCTATGCCTGTTCTTCTAAACTCTGCAACTGTATTTCCCCGGGTCCTTTGCTCCTTGGCTCCTTGTTAAGTTTCTGCAATCAGGTTGTGGGAAAAGGGGTGTAGCCCTTCCCCTCTACTTCCACTCTCTCCTTTCTATCTTTTGGTAGTGTCTTTGAAGTAGCCATGTCCCTTCCTTCACAGTCTGGAGGCAGGAAGCAGTGTTTCTTCCTTCATGACCTCAGCTCTTGAAGAGTGGTGGCACCTGAGATGGTGGCCCCTTCTGAGCTCTTTCCTTCTGGTGGCAGCACTTCCTTCCATTTGTTTCCCAAACCCTAGGATTTCTCTTCACCCCCTGATTTAATTTCACCTTTCCATTTTTGTTCTTCCAGCCTTCCAACAACTGTCTAACCAATTCCCCATATTAAATCTTCTCCACTTAAATACTTAATATTTCTCTGTTTTCCTGAATGAATCCTGACTTGATACAATTAGTCCTTGCATGATGAATTGTTTCTAGTAATATCTCCAATCACTATTATTTCAGTTCTCTAACAGCAGTAGTATGTCCCAAATAATCCAGCCCAGCTCTTGCCAACTCCTATTCACAAGAGAATGGCATTACATTTTTTTATTATCTAGTTCCAGAAATCAAAATACATTTGTCCCCTGTTACTAAACAGTGACTAAAGCAGGATTTTTAAAAAAGAAACTTTCAAGTTATTAAGTTCCTTTTTTTTGCCAATATATGTGTTGGTTGAGCTGTTAAAGATTAAGCTCTTAATGCTTTTAAGCTGTCTAACAGGAAAAAGCTGGATAATTAAACAACAATGGAGAGCAAAAATCTTTAAATAAGCAAGAACAGTTGGCAAAAGGAAATGTAGGAAGACCATTTCACAGTAGCGGAATTAGTAAACAATATACACAGAGAGCCAAATGAGGTCTCAGTCTATTTAATAGTACACATGATCTTCTACATGAAAGTCGGAATGAATTCCAAAGACTATAGCACATGATAAAACCCTGTATTTTATATTCCATCTTCCTTTCTTGGGATGTAACTCTTACAGAAGGCATATTTAGTATAAATTCTCTATTTTCCAAATCCCAAGGAATTGCAGTGACAGGCAGCTACTACGGGGAGGGAATAAGACTGTTAAATATTAGGGCTTTAAAGCATACCCTTAGAAGGCTGTAGTCAGACACTAACTTTGCAGGCAATGATCTAAAAGAAAAGCTATGCCCTGACTGCTGTGGCTCAGTTGGTTGGTCACTGTCCTGCAAAGCAAAAGGTTGCAGGTTTGATCCCCCTATTTGAGAGACAACTAATCAATGTTTCTCTCTCACATCGATGTTTCTCTCCTTCTCTTTCTGACCTCCCTCCTTCTCTCTCTAAAAATAAATAAATAAATAAATAAATAAATAAATAAATATCTTTAAAAGAAGAGTTACCTCAAAAAAAAAAAAAAGAATGTAAAAAGAATTCATATCAAGTATGGCATAACATGCAAGTACTAGTTTAAAAGACACAATAGAGACTATAACCCCTGCAGTAACCACCAATACAAGGACTCAGGTAACAATCAATTTGCTCTGCTCCAGACCCCAGCTAACCCCTATTCTCACTTTATCAACTTTGCAAGGGTCCACCCTGCTTTATATGTGACTGAATTTTTTGGTCTCCACTTATATCATTATGGTGAAGTTTTACTGTCTTTCAAGCCCCTCTCCTGGAGAGAACAATGTAGGATATCAAAATATGCCACCCCAAATATACAACTTTGACATAAGGATTACTGCACTGAATGCATCTGAGATTCAACTAATGGGGAAAGAAGCTTTCCTGATCTAACTGAGGGCAGAAACTGAGAAGTAAGGACTGCCATAAATTTCATCTCCTGGTGAAGATTGATGGCCATGAAGAAGACAGACCTGCACAAACCTCACTTTATTTGTCCCCCCCCATGTATTTATTTATGCCACCCTTGGAAGCCTAAAACCTCTTTGTTTTTGTCACTACTCTGCAAATTTATTGTTGTCAACTCAAAGCCCAAGTTCAAACCATCCCTTTAAGTTTCTCATCACTAAGTTTCTCCCACATGTAGGCAAGCTGCACGTGTTAATAATCTGGTTTTGTTTTGTTAATCAATCTGTGGTCAGTTTAATTTGCAGGGCCTCAGTCAGAGAACCTAGGGCGGTAGAGGAAAAAGTTTCCTTTTTTGACCTAACATCAGTTTGTCACTAGAATAGTTTTAGCTCTCCTCATATCTTCAGATTTCAGAGAAAACTGTTTCAAAGCACAGAATTTTAAAACATAAAATGTAAAAAAATGCACACAAGGTCAAATGGCTCTGGAGAAAATTACATGGGACAACAGGAATATTTTGCTATCAATCTCCCTTGTTCAAATATCTTGCTGTTCCATGGATTCACTCACACTGCGTCCAGCTTCCTTCCATTTCCAGGGAGAAATAACTCCTGTTTTCCACAGTAGACTAAATATATAGAGATGGTATCTTTCTGTGATATATCATAACCAAAACATGTTTTCAATTTTTTTAATAATAAAAACACAGAAGCCACTTCACTTAAAAATTTATAACAGAAGCAGCATGTGCCTATTAAAAGTGAAGAGTGCTTAGGCCACCTGGTAAGTCCCATTCATAAAATCCTACCTCCCCAACTCACAATATCATGGCTACTCAGCCCAGAAACAAAACAGTGAGGACCAAACATTCCCATCACGGTAAAAACGGAAGTCTGGTTTTTCTATACACTTAAAGCAGTACATGTTTTCTAGGTTGCTCTCCCCGGAGAGTCTCTTCTGCTTTCACCTGGTTAGTTTGTCTGCTCAAAGTTCAGACAGATCTGCTTCCCTAAAGCAGGACCAACAATTGGGTATTACAGTCACTTAGGAAATTTTGTTGGTTTGTTTGTAAATACAAATCCCTTATGGAGCTTTTGATTCCTTAAATCTGAGAAAGAGTTGGATAACTTGGATGTACAACTGGTTTTGAAAACCAGTGGTTTTGATAACACAATTTTACAAGAACATGAATGAGGCTTCAGGAATTAAAATGGGGATAAATAGGAATCTCTTTAAAACAACTTCATTGCAATCATACACTGGAGGTTAGGCTGGATAAACTCTAGAAAATTATATGTAAATGTCCTTTAAAAATCACATTACTATACATTTTTCTGGTTTGATTTAAAATGAGCAGAAAGTTTTTCTCTTAACAATTTTATTGAATATAAAAACTAAACTAGGAAATATATATTTGGTTTCTTAAAATTAAAAGGTTGATGGGAGAATATAACAATCTTATTTAAAGGATTTTGCTATTTGTGGGTCTTTTTTTCCCAGCTTTATTGAGATATAATTGGCATATAACACATATAAATTTAAGGTATATAATGCAATGATTTGATACACATATACGAGGTCTGTCCAGAAAAAGTCCATGCATTGTTCTATAATGAGAATGGTTTGCGTGACATCGATGTAACCTGGCAGCCAAGGAGAGTGGACTGGACTGCACATGGGTGAACAATGATGACTCACTGCACTAGTCAGTGGGGGTTGTAGATGCCATTGAGTGAGCATG